TTGTCCTGTGTCAGCAGCCGCTGGTGCTGCTACTGAAGCTTATCTTGCTGCTGCTCTCATCGCTGCTGCGCGTGCTGCATCTCTACAGCGTCTGCTGCTGCTGCTGCTGCTGCTGCTGCTTGCCTCAGGCCCAGCAGCACTCGCCGGGTGTCTCTGCTGCTGTCTGGGTTGCCCCCTCGCCTCTGCAGCGCAGCAGCACTTGCTGCTGTTGTTTCTCGCGCCGTGAGCAGCAGCAGCAGCAGGAGCAGCAACAACAGCAGGCCTCAGCAGATCCTCCAGCAGAACTATTAAAAACACGCCCCAAAACAGCAGCACCAGCAGCAACAGCAGCAGCAACTCGGTGCATGTGATCATGTTGGTGCGCTGCTGCTGCTGCTGCTGCTGCTGCTGCTGCCTGCAGGGCGCGCAGCTGCCGCTGTCGTTTTTCCTGCTGCAGTGCAGCAGACTGGGCCGCTACACGGGCCGCTGCCTCGTGTTAACAGACCCTCCTCCTGCTGCTGTTGCTGCTGCTGCTGCTGAAGCTGCTGCTGCTGCTGAAGCTGCTTCTGGAGCTGCACGACCAGCAGCAGCCGGTGCTGCGGGAGAGGGAGCAGCCGAAGCAGGAGAAGCAGCAACAGCAGCAGAGGGAGAAGCAGCAGCAGCAGAAGCGAAAGCAGCAGCAGCAGCAGCAGCAGCAGAAGCAGCAGCAGCAGCAGCAGCAGCAGCAGAAGCAACAGAAGGAAGCCATTTCATTAATAGGCTGCTGGGAGTTCTGCCCGCGGGAGTTGCTGTTAAAGAATGTGATCTACATGAGACTAAGAGAGCCGTAGAGGAGTCAGAACTGCTGCTGCTGCTTCTGTTGCTGCTGCTGCTGCTGCTGCTGCTTCTGTTGGTGTTGCTGCTGCACAAGGCGCTGCTGCTGATTTGTGGAAGCGCGCTTCTGCTGCCGTTGCTGCTACTGTTGTGCTGCTGTCTGGTAGCTACAGCAGCAGCTGCTGCTGCAGCTAGAAGAGCAGCAGAGAAACAGCAGCAGCAGCAGCAGCAGCAGCAGCAGCAGCAGCAGCAGCCGCAGCAGCAGCAGCAGCAGCAGCGCATGTGGGTGTTCAGGTTTGAGGGTTTCCACCGGCAGTCCGACGACCTTCTCCGCTTAGCAGCAGAAGGCAACAAATCCCTTTCTAGGTAATTTGCTTTTTTAAAAGAAAGCAATTGCTGCTGTTGCTGCTGCTGCTGCTGCTGTTGCTGCTGCTGCTGCTTCCCTCCGTGGTCGCCTCTGTCTCTTGTTAAGGGCTGCTGCTGCTGTGCACCCGCGGCGCCTTCAAGTCTGCAGCAGCAGAAGCAGCAGCAGCAGCAGCAGCAGGCGCTGCTTCTGCTGCTGCTGCTGCTGCTGCTGCTGCTGAGCCTTCGTGTGTGTCGCTCGTTCTTTGCTGCTTGGCAACTTAATGAAGCAGTTAAAGAATCATTTAAACAATTAACCATTTAAACAATTCATTCCCGCTGTTGCTGCTGCTGCTGCTATTGCTGCTGCTGCTGCTGCTGCTGCTCTTGCTGCTGCTTTTAGGACCATCAGCATTCAGCCGCTGCCAGCAGACTGGAGGGCGGAAGATCTGCAGCAGCTTTTAAAAGTTTCTTTTGGAGTGTCTCTTGTAAGCTTTTTTATTTTTGTTTTTAATTTTATTTTTTATTTTATTTTTTATCTTATTTTTTATTTTATTTTGTTTTATTTCTTTTACCTCATTTCATTTTGTTATTGCTATTTCTTTATTTCGTTTCTTTTACTTTTATTGTTTCATTTTGTTTCTTTCTTGTCTCATTTTATTTTTTTTTCATTTTGTTTTATTTCTTTTTCTTTTATTTTATTTTATTTCTTCTTCTCACGTTGTCTCTTTTGTTTCTTTTTCTTTATTTCATTTTATTTCATTTTCTTTATTTTATTTCATTTTTATTTCATTTCATTTCATTTGTTTCTTCATTTCTTTTTATTTCATTTTATTTCATATTATTTCTTTATTTCACTTCATTTTTTTCGTTTTATTTTTTGTCTTTTATACTTTTGCCTCTTTGTTTCTTTTTGCCTTTTCTTAATGGATAGCTGGGCTTTATTTTAATGGCTAGCTGGGCTTTATTTTAATGGCTAGCTGGGCCATATCTTAATGGCTAGCTGGGCCATATCTCAATGGCTAGCTAGGGTTTATCTTAGTAGCTAGCTGGGGGTTTTCTTAATGGCTAGCTGGGCTTTATTTTAATGGCTAGCTGGGCTTTATTTTAATGGCTAGCTAGGGTTTATCTAAATGGCTAGCTGGGGGTTGTTTTAATGGCTAGCTGGGCCATATCTTAATGGCTAGCTGGAGTTTGTTTTAATGGCTAGCTGGGCTTTATTTTAATGGCTAGCTGGGGCTAACATAATGGCTAGCTGGGGCAAACATA